CTGTGAGAAATAAGCAGAAGATTACTGAGGTGGTATAATAAAGAGTCTGACTCCATTTCTGATACCTGACTGCTTTCAACCCCCACCTCCCTTCCTCTTCTGCCCCACATCTAGGAAGCTGATAAGGAAGCCTGGGTACTCTCTCCTTTGATGTGGTGGAAAGTTTCAATCCCACAAGCTCCTACCCACATGCAGGAGATCTCACCCTGGCTTAATCTCCTACCTTCCATAAAAGACAAAGCAGTCTCCTTTTGCTGCTGTCTTAAGCTGTTTTTGGATCATCCTGAGAGCCTGCCTTTGTCACCCCACAAAACCTCATTATGTCAGTAGTAAACATTTCCATACTCTCCTGGTGGATGCATGTACGGTATCATCAGTTTCAACACCTGAACCAAATTTCAGGTAAGGTGTCCATCCACCTCTGGAAGACCTCTTTTATTTACTTACCTGGATGTGTCAGTCTTGCCCTTCAGTCTTTCCCTATTCCTGCTGGTGGTATAACAGCCAGCCCTCTTGCAATACGGAGAAGCAAACCTGTGTTAAGAATGGCCGAGTAGAAAGAAAGAGGGAACCTACATCCCTGGTGACATTTTGAATTACCCTCTCATCCCTGCACTGCCTGCTTCTGAGTCTCTCAAGTCATGAAAACAAGACAAATTTGTTCAGTTGCTTGTAGCTGAAGACATTTCCAACTATAGGACTGTGACTGAGCTGTGTCTTGACCTCATAAATGGAAATTAGTACTTTTGCCAGGATGTGAACAGGTGAATATCAAAATATTTGAAATACCTAGGACTAAGTCACTCTCAGTGGAGTGTCCCTGTAACTAAGGGCATTCACTGAATCTTTTCTGGGCTGGATTCCTTTAGGGAGAAACAAGCCTACGTAAGCTCACAGAGAGAACCCGTTTTCATAGTTGGAAAATGGTCTGGAAATTGGTCTACAGTAGAAATTGGAGAGAAGTTCAGAACGAAGAATTTTGGTTGGGAAGACACCCATATATCTAACTCATACTGTGAATGTACCTAAGAGAACCAAAGTGTCAGAAAGAAAGGGGACTGCTTACTGAGTACCAATTCTTTTGCTGGTAATGTGTTAGATGTGCAAAGAGAAGAGAATATAAGCTTCCTTCCCTTAACACTTGGTGGAGGAGTTAGTGCAAGCATGCTAAAAGGTCTTGAAGGGAATGACAACAGCCTTCTTCAAATATAATTAGAATTTGATTTGGCTAAATTGACACAAGAAGCCAGTGCAAGTGATGATGAAGAAAACCATGTGAGCCAGATACAGGAAACTGATTAAAGCTAGATCCCCATCACTTCCTCAATAAGCTAAATAGTATGTCCCATCCTGACCTGGCAGATAATGCAGAAAGGGGAGATAGCTGGAGGCAGGCCCCCTGATGGTGTGGTTTTTCCATATAAGCAAGAAACAACACAGCATTTATTTTTTTTAGGAAATGAGTAAATACCAAGTTTATAGGCAAAAGGAAGTAACAATATAATTGCAGAATAGAAATGTTAACGTAGTCTAAATCACCTGTCTTTACAAAAATGACATATTTATTCCAGAGATAATCATCTCTGACTGGAGCTCATCAAAGTTCCAAGTATTTTATCTTCACATTTCTCTTTATTGTTGGTAAAAGTTAACAGACAACTTCCAGAGTGCATCACAGACCAATAGCCACTGACGTGAAGCAGTTTTTAAAAGTAATTTTAAGTACTCACTATCTTAGTATTTTTGACAGTCCATATGTCAGAGATAAAATGATAAACATTCATGTTGTTGATAGAATGAGCACACAATCAAAGAAAACAAGGAGGAAAATTCCCCTTACAAGGCTCCCATCACAGCCCTGCCTGGGGTAGCAGTGGGAGTGTCTATACCTTCTTTTGCAGGAGTAACAAATAAGCTCAAATTTCAGCTCAACTCTTTGGGCAAAAGAAGAGAGTTTAGTCAAAACCTGAAGCAGTTTGTTGACAGATTTTCTAACAAACAAAGGCAAAAGGAAAAGGGAGGAAACTTCCTAAACTACTTCAGGAAAAGCCCCAAACCAGAGTCTTTGCGTCCAAAAACCTGTTAAATCTACTGAAACTATTTCTGACCATATTGATTTTTTCTGGAAAGTGAAGGTCTCAGTTAAACTCCCAGCATTTCTTGATTTTAGCAGGAAACTACTTTACGTGGGTGTCTGGACATCACTCTCTGCTGAAGCGTGGAGAAAGTGATCTAGCAACACACCCAACCTGCCTGACAGGTACTGCCTCTACCTGGATGGCTTATTCATGAGTCAGAAAACACCTCTGTTGTCAGTCTTGCATTTTATTTCATTCCTAAACTTGTCAGACTTGGGATGCTGAACAAATTTTAAAATTCAGAAATATGGATCATTGTAAAAACCAGTCACTCACTACAGCTTTCCAAATAGCAGATGTCTTTATGCATAAACTCCCATTTATTGAAATGTTTATATAGGCAAGAAGGAACTCTATAATAATACTAATGACAGCACTCAAGCTGGGTCTCTATAACCACAGGAATATCAGACATTGAAGCTTTGGTTGTGGTTTCAGGGCACTGTTGGCCTGTTCACAAAAGTGAAGCACTCTTTCATGAATTGGAGATCTTTAGACCTAGCCTTAGTCAGTCCTTCAAAGAGATCAAAAAGTCATGAAGTTCCTTAATTGCCTTTGTTATATCTTGCTGGAAAGAAGTTTCATTTGGGTGTTTCTTTTTCATCTACGTGGAACCCAGGGCTGCAGTAACTAATCACTTTACCATATTGTATAGAACTTTTATTCAAAATATGATTCAGGGTTTATTACATATATTAATGTAATATATCTGACTATGACAGCATAAGGGAGGTAGAAGGGAACAAAGCTGTGTTGCAGTGAGGAGATGACACAGATGGTAACTTGCATCCACAGGAACAAATGAAGAGAATAAGAAATGAAAAATACAAAGATTGATATAACAAAGTCCTTAGATACATACTTTCCCTTCTTATCTTAGCTTCCTTAAAAGATATAAAATTCTATAAAGTAATAATTACAGCAATTTATTGTGCTTGTAACATATAGAGAGATAATATGTATAACAATAATATTATCAAAAAAGGGGAAAGAAGGGCTTTGTAAGAGAAAAGTATCTATGTCTCACTGGTATTAAGTTAGTATAAATCTAAAGTCAATTTTGATAAGTCAAGACATATACCATAAACCCTAGAAAATAACTTACTCTAGGCCACTAAGAAAATAACTAAAAAATATAGTTGAAAAGTCATTGGAGGAATTAAACTATTATGCTAAAATATGCATTTAATGCAAAAGAGAATAGTAAAGGAGGAACAGAGGAACAAAATGTGACAGGAGACTTACAGAAAGCAAAAAGGAAAATGGAAGATGTAAATTGGATATGGACTTGAACAACACTATAAACAAGAACTAACAAACATTTATAGACCATTTTACTTAACAATAGAATATATAATTTTCTCAAGTGCACAGGGAACACTTTCCCAGAAAGACCATATGCTAGGTTCAGTAAATTTCAAAGGCTGGAAATCATGTAAAGTATGTTCTCTGAACCATAATGGAGTGAAATTAGAAATCTAAAATAAAAAGTAATTTGAGAAATTAACAAATATCTGGAAATTAAACAGCACATCCCTAAATAACCAAAGAATAAATCACAAAGGAAAATAAGAAATACTTTGAGATGAATAAAAACTAAACACAGCATATCAAAACATACAGGATACGAGTAAAGCAATGCTTATAAGGAAATGCATTGCCATAAACACCTACATTGAAAAGGAAGAAAGATCTCAAATCAATAACCCAAACTTCACCTTAAGACACTGGAAAAACAAGAGAAAACTGAAGGTGAAGTAAGCATAAGGAGTAAATAGTAAAAATTAGAGTGGAAATTAATGAAATGGAGATTAGAAAGAACATGTAAAAATTAATTAAACCAAAAGTTAGTTCCTTGAAAAGACCAACAAAATTGACAATGCTTTGATTAGATTGACTAAGAAAAAGAATTAAAAACTCAAATTATTAAAATCAAGAATGGAAAAGCAGATTGGTCATCATTACCAATCTTATAGAAATAAAAATGATTATAAGGGAATAGTATGAACTGCTCTGTGTCATGGGCATATATGACATGGACAAGTTCTTAGAAAAACACAAACTACTGCAATTGACTCAAGAAGAAACAAAATCAGAATACACATATAACAAGTAAAAAGATTAAATTACTAACTTAAAACTTCTTGCAAAGAAAGGCCCAGGCCCAGATGACTTGACTAGTACATTTTACCAAACACTTAAACAAAAATTAATAGCAACTATTCAAGGGGTACATAGGTGGCTCAGTCGGTTAAGCATCCAACTCTTGATTTCAGCTCAGATCATGATCTCAGGGTTATACAATCCAGCCCTACGTCGTCAGGGTCTGCGCTGGGTATGGAGCCTGCTTAAGATTCTGTCTCTCCCTCTGCCCCGACTCCCCCCAAAATAAAAAAGAATAAATAGCAACTATTCAAAAATTATTTGAGCAAGTAGAAAAGGAGGGAACAATTTTCAACTCATTCTATGGGATCAATATTACACAGATACAAAAACCAAACAAATACATCATAAGACAACTCTTAAAACTACAGACCAATGTCTTTTATGAATACAGACCAAAAAAATCCTCAGCAAAATACCAGCAAACTGAATCCAACAACATATAAGAAGGATTATCCACTATGACCAAGTGGAATATATCCCCAAAATGTAAGGCTGCTTTAACATCCAACAATCAATCAATGTAACACACCATATTGATAAAATAAAGGACAAAACCATATGATCATTTCAAAAGAACAGAAAAAGCATTTGACAAAACCTAACACCCATTCATGATAAAAAAATAAAACACTCAACAAACTAGGAAGAGACTAAACTCTCTTCAACACAATAAAGGACATAAAAAAAAAATCCACAGATAAGATTATACTTAATGATGAAAGATTGAATGCTTCTTCCCCAAGACTGGGAATAATACCAACATGTCCATTCTCACCATGGGTATTTGACATTATAATGGAAGGTCTAGCTTGAGAAATTAGGCAAGCAAAAGGAAGAAAACCCATCTAGATTGTAAAGGAAGAAGGAAAATTATCTCTATTTGCATATGGCATTATCTTGTATGTATAAAATCTAAAGAATCCACTAAAAAAATCATGAGTTCAGCAAGATTGCAGGATAAAAGATCAATTTACAAACATCAATTTTATTGCTATATGCTAGCAATGAACAATTTGAAAATGACATTAAGAAAGCAATTCCATTTTTGATAGCATCAAAAATATTTAGGAATAAACTTAACAAAAATAGTATAAGACTTACACACTGAGAACTACAAAAAATCGTTGAAAGGAATTAAAAGCAAAATAAATGAGAAAGTATTTCATGTTCATGGATTGAAAGACTTTATATTGTTAAAATGGCAATATTCCTCAAATTGATCTGCAGATTCAGTGCAGTACCTATCAAAATCTCAGCTGGTTGTGTTTCAGAAATTGACAATTCACATGAAAATCCAAAGGACAAAGAATAGCTGGCACAATACTAAAAAAGACCAAAGTTGAGGAACTCACACTTCCTGATTTCAAAACCTGTTACAAAACTGCAATAAACAAGACAGTATAGTACTGGAATAAGGACAGATCAATAAAATAGAATAGAGGCCCCAAATAAACTCTCACATTTTTGATCAGCTAGTTTCAACAAGCGGTCATGATAGTTCAATGGGGCCAGAAAAGTCTTTTTGACAAATCATGCTGGCAGAACTGGATGTCCACTTGCAAAAAAATGAAGTTGGATGCCTTTGTTACACTACACCAAAAAACTAACTCAAAATAGACTATAGAGCTACATGCAAGAGCTAAAATTATATGACTCTTGAGAGGAAACATGAAAGTAAGGCTTTAAATATCATGTAAAAAAAATCCATAAGTAACAAAAGGAAAAAATAGATACATTGGAACTTAGCAAAATTGAAAACTTTTATGTTGCAAATCACACCAAGAAAGTGGAAACACAACCCACAGAATGAAAGAAAATATTTTCAAATCACATATCTGATAAGGGACTTGTGTCTATATTTTTAGCAACTCAGTAATAAAAAATGGAATTTAAAAAATGGGTGATTGATCTGAATGACATTTCTTCAGAGAAGATAAGCAGCTGGTCAATAAGCACATGAAAAAATGCTCAACATCATTAGTCATTAGGGGAATGCACATCAAAACCACGATGAGTTACCACTTGGCACCCCCACAAGGATAATGATCATGAAAAAGACATGAAATGTGAAGAAACTGGAACCTCCTATGTTCCTGGTGGTGATGCAGAGTGGTTGCACCAGCTTGTGAAACAGTTTGGCAGTTCCTCAAAATGGGAAACGGAGTTATATGATCTAGTAATTCTATTCCTGGGTATGGGCCCAAGAGAAATGAAAACACAAATTCACACAAGAACTTGTACATGAATGTTCAAGCAGCACTATTCAAAATTGCCAAAGAGTAGAAATAACCCAAATGCCATCCACCGATGAATGCATAAGTGAGATATAGTTTATTTATATTCCATGTTATTCATCAGTAAAAAAGGGATGAATTACTGACACCTGCCACAATATGGATGAACCTTGGAAACATGATGCTAAGTGAAAGAAACCAGACACAAAAAGTCACATACCATATAATTCCATTGATATGAAATAGACACAACAGGGAAATCTGTAGAGAGCGCAAGTAGATTGTTGATTGTCTAGGGCTTGGAGAGAGGGGGTGGGAAGGGCAGTGACATGACAGTGAAAGTGTATGAAAGTGTAACTTTTTCAACTTTACATCAAAATGTAAAATTGATTGTGATGATTGCACAAGCCTGTGAACAAACAACATTGAATGACACACTCTAAATGTGTACATTTTTTTGGTATGTGAATGATAACTCAATAAAGGTGTTAAAAATCTAATCCATATAAATCAGTCATGTAGTATGAGTTTGGTTTCCTTAGAAAAATTATTACAGGAGCATTTTTGACGTGTTGCCACTGTTGACATTTTGGGCTAAGTCATTATTTGTCGTTGGGGAGTGTCCCTTTGTCCTGTGCATTGTAGGATGTTTGGATGTATCCTTGGCCTCTACCCACCAGGAGCCAGCAATGTTCCTTCCCCCAGGTATGACAACCAAAACTACCTCTGACATTGATAAATGTCCCTGGGGGGGGGTGCAAACTGTTCCCATTTGAGAACCACCGTGCAGAGTGCTTAACAGCAGTAACTATACAAAATCAACATTTCAGCTCTTACTAACCCTTTAGGCTGCTAGAACCTTAAACACTTACCCTTTATTTCTCACAACAAAACTAGAGAATAGATTGTTTTTGTTACTTTCAACTTTTGTCCTGGAGCTCAAGGGGAAGCCACTGAGGAAAATGGTCTAGGTGCAATTACAACTTTCCACAGATTGGTGCCTGCACTGTGTTTCTGTTTAACTGCTATACTCGGGGTTGTAATTTAGCCTGTGTCTAATGAAATGCTAAATTTGCTTGTCACACGTTTAGTAGACAGTCCTCTTAAATAAGAAAATATTTAGAAAAGTAAAAATGCATTTATCTTTTATTCTATTATTGGTTATAGAGTAAATATCATGAATATCTATGCAAAGTAAGAAAAAAAGCAAGCAGGATTCCATGGAGATTTAAATAAAAATGTTTCACTTGAATTTAATTGTTTCTGGCAACTTAGCCAAGTGAACTTCTCAATCTGTATTCAACGAGTCCCACAAAAACTCCAGTGATTGTAAAGCACAAAAGTTGATTTCCAAGTAAAGCAAGAAGGCATGTGATTGATTCTACCACTGCTTGACACAAAGCTGAAAAGGAACGAATGAGAAAGATTAATCGTCTTGAAACCCCAGGAGAGGCCAGAATCAGAACTGTGAGTCCCGGGGAGGAAAAAAAAAATGAGAAAAATGTGACGAATGTGACAAGAGGGTGTTGAATCAGTCACTGATAAAAGGCAGTGGGTCACTCCCTCACCGAGTTGCAGCAATAGAAACAAATAAGGAAAGCCAAGAGCCAATGCAATGGGAAAACATGTCGGTTTTATGCACACATCCTCACAAACACATTACTCACCACCGAGTAGTAATGCTCATCGTCATGTACTCACTTCATGCTATGAAAATTGGATGTCTCACATTGACTGACTTTCCCTCCACAGCAAAATCATGCAGTCTTTCCACTGCTGACCTCCCATGCTAATGCAATACCCCACCATGTGCTCCCGGATGTCTACAAAGGACACCAGGATGGGGGCGGGTGGGTGGCAGGTGGTCTGGGGAGTGCCCTCTGCCTTTCCACATTGCCCCGGATCAGCCAGGAGCTCAGCCAGTATTTTCCAGCTCATTTGCGTTAGTGATTTCTTGCCTTACCCTGCGCTTATTTCTTTTTCCAATCTATCCGATTCAAAGAAACGGACACCATCAAAGTCGTGCTCCCATCCTAAACTTTACACTCACACCCTGATCTGAATAACCTGGCATCACCTTGTTTCCTCTTCTTGTGACTAAATCTTATCCTGGACTTTTTAATCTTAAAGTTCTGCCCGCTGAGCTTCCAGTTCCAAAACCCAAATGACCATGGCCACATGCTAGGAGAACGGGAGGCGTCTAGCCACCAAGCTGTCTGCCGTGCAAAGCCATTCTGCACCCTTCTTGGCTTTAACACTTACCACTCAGACTGGTCCTGTTTTGTTCCTCTGGGATATCCTGGACTCCAGTGTTGAGGGCAGGAGAAGATGAGGAAGCCCTCCACGCAGACAGTGTGTGAACACTGGGTGTGTGAGCCCTCACCTGCGTGTGTCTCTCTGTTGCTACATGTGGAGTGCAAAGTAGAATGAGAACTTCCAGTCCTCTAAAGGAGGGCACCAGGGCCGTGGATGTTAAAGCTCTTCTCTGCAGACTTTGTAGTCTCACAAGGAATTTCTTCCACGTCTTGGAGTTGACAGGAATTGGACAAGCCTTGGTCTTACCACAACCCAGCGCATTGGGCAATCTAAGGGCGGGACTCTCCCTCAATGTTGGGGTTGCCAGTTCAGTAGGGCCTGAAGTTCCTTTTCTGAAAAGGAAAGTCCATGCTGTGGCAAAACTGACAAAACATGGTTTTTTGTTTGTTTGTTTTGTATTTGGGGGCGTTCCACTTTTAATCAACCTGAGTAAGAAAAAAAAAAGCGTGTTACCATCAAAGAAAGAATCACCTGGTTAAAATGTTCCATAAAATGCAGACTTTCCCCCACTTTGGATATTTTCCCCTCTTTGTCCTCCTGCTCTGCTGTTGGGACAACTACTTTTTTTTTTTTTTTTGAGGAAGTTGAACAAAATTTAAATAGAGTTGTGCTGGCATATTTTCCTATGTTGTTTGGGAGAGATTAAAATACATCAACTTTCCTGACTGCCTCAAACTTCATACAACTCCAGCCCTCCATCAAAATTCTCCTTTTGATGATAAATGGTTCTCTTACAATTCTGAGCCTCAGAGAGGATGGTTATATTTTTGCCGTCTACTGAGTGTTGATGGAACTGCATTTGCTGCTGCAAGCCATAGTATCCTTGTTCTGTGCCCAATGCTTCCAAGAAAATAGAGGTCTCAGCAATGATGAACAATTTAGGAAACACAAATATGTAATATATCACTTAGAGCATCAAGAGGGACACCTGAGATGTTAATTTTATTTTTAGAACTATTTTTTTTTCCAGAAGAGGATATGTTCCATATTTTAACTCTCCAGTTTTTCTTTGTGTTGAATCTGAGGAGATATCCCTGAGACCAGGTTGGATAATAATGTAGGTCAGGTTGTAAATATTGTGCTCCAAATATTTAAAAATACCTCATAGCATTAAAAAAAAAAAGCTCAAAAGAGGTGCCAGAAACATCCGATTTGTTACTAAAGCAGATGGGAGGGAGTGGAGTGGATTTTGGTTTTGGAAATGCAGGAACCTAAATCTTCAATACCCAAACAGGGACAGAAGTTGAGGTCTTGGAACCAGGCAAAGCAAGAGCAGGAACTGAGATTACCCCATTAGGAACAGACTGTGAAAGCTGGACTGGAAAATTACCTACACATTAGGACAGGGT